GTTGCCTATGAGGCATATCAAACGCTGTACCTAGCTCATGGCTTTATCAAAGTCCAATAGGGGTCTCCCCCCGCCTTAGCGGCTTTGAGCAACTCATAAGGTTTTGCAGCAGGACCCAACGTGTCTAGGATTTTATCCTGGCAATTATGCAGGGAGAACTCAAGTCTCTCTTCCTGAGTTTCCACCCTGTCTTGGTTAGGAATTGCAAGATCTGGGGGTCCACCTTTTGTGTCTTACACGCTGTGGCGGGCACGGATGGTCGGGGCATTCGGCCCTCGCTTTGTTGCACCCCTCTTGGAGAGCGGGGTGCGCATTCGCAGGGCCAAGTACTAGAAGAGAAAGAAAGGAGGTGGAGCAGAAAAAAGATAGAAACCCCCGCCTATAGTCGCGGATCCCAGCCTGTGCCTCCCGAACTCAGCACAGGCAGGTAAGCAAGGCCAACACTAGTGGGGCAGAGCCAGTAAAGCACTGCCCCACAGGAACAAAAACACACAAGGAAACCAAGAATTAACGTAAATACAAATATAAACCAATCATTAAATGCAATTCACAGGGAGAGAGAAAAAATGTACTTAGCTGGTCTGAAGAGCAGCAAAGAAAGAGGAAGTTGGAGGCTAGTTCAAGGCACTTTAGACTGTTCCTGTTGGCTGCCCTGTTACTAGGCAGAGTTGGTTATGTTTGATATTTTTATTCATATTCTCTTTCAAGTTACTTTTCTCTTTGCTGCTGAGGAATATATTAAATGGAATTTGACAATCAAATGGTGAATTTGCCAATATAAAGTCACCACCCAAGGCATCCAGAATGATGTACTTTCTCATTGTCACTGAAGTGTTACACGTGTACTGAGAAATTCTTGGTGATTTGGTCAATATCCATATCATGTGTGCTTCCTTACTTTGCCAGTTTTCAGTCACTGATCCATATCTGATAATACACAAATGGAAAAATGTATTCTTATTGTCAGTTTGACATTTTAAATTGTCATGCAGAAAACCCAGAAGAACTCGCTCATTAAACACTGTTCACAGGACGGACTGACAAATGCCTGCAACAATAAATGTAGGTGGCTCGATAATTTTTGCTATATATCTGTTTCATGAGCCTAACCCTTTAATAATACATGACAGATGTAATATAATAATTCAAAGCAATGAGACTCCAGCACTCTGTTTTAGGTACAATGTGAATTATATTCAGCCATCCAAAATGACAGGCAATGTTTTGTCACAATGTGCGAGTTTATCAAGATGCATTACCCCACAAATAAGTGGTCGTCTAATAAATTTCTTCAAGAAAATATCAGACTTGTTTATATATGAAATAATGCTTCCTTCATAAAAATAGATTTGTTTATTTTATCTGTACTTTATTAGAAAGTAGTACTTTCCTAAAGTAGTCTATCCACCAGGCTTTTCTTTCATTTAGCACATCTTCACATTGCAGTTACGTTTCTACTGGATGCAAATTCAAAAATCTTGTTCCTAATTTGTGCTAGCTACAAATTCCAAGATTTTACTATTAACATGACGTAAAGTCATGATTATTATCAATGACACGGAGGCGAGTATTATGCTTTCTCTTTCTTTAATATAATCCTCCACAGCAAAGAGAAAATAAATCTGAAAGAGAATATAAATAAATATATCAAACATAACCAACTCTGCTTAGTAACAGGGCAGCCAATCAGGATACAGGAAACAGTCTATAAAGTGCCTTGAACTAGACTCCAGCTTCCTCTTCTTTGCCTTCAAGACTGAATACCAAATAAAACGAAAGTCAACATCAGGAAAAAGTCGCCAATCAAGGAAAAATGTCCCCAAAATGAAAATCAGGCTGTGAAAAAATAGAAATATATGGTAAAATAAAACTCTGGATCTACAGTAAAATCAATATGAATACCATTGCCTATGTATATCTGCAAATCACATTGATATGTATAAATAAAACATGTAGATAACCCATCACCCAATATCAAACCGGCACCACCTACCATGTGGAGAGACTCCAAGCCTTACCAAATATATAAGTTCCCAAACCCACCAGCCGGGTAGGCGGGAATAATACTCGCCTCTGTATCATTAATAAAATCATGACACTGTCATGTTAATAGTAAAATCTTGGAATTTAATTAATGACACGAAGACTCCTATTATGCTAGTTAAAAGCTGAGCCACCACCTGAGAAGAAAAATGGTTATTCGGACGGAAATAAAAATCTCTGAAGGTCGATTCTTGATCAATCCGCCGCTTTCAACATATCGTCCAAACGACAACCAGTCCTAGAGGCTTTTGACACCATGGCCCCCCTAAAAGAATGGGCCAAGAATATCGAGGTGTCAACAACCGCCAAGATGAGAAAATCCTTAACGAGCTAACGTGGGCGTAGAGACTGGAAGGAATGGTACCTGAAACAGTTGACACAAGTCAGGTGAACGTAACGTCCAAATACGATCCAGATAAACTCAT